TTTATGGATGACATCCGCGCGCGCATTGGTTTTTGCTTGTTCTCCAAAAAAAAAATACATGTCTTTTGAGGCTTCACAAAACTCCGGAACTCGGCTGGAACTCGGTACAGACTGCCGACTCATGAATGCCGCAAAAGGGCGGCTTATCGTAAAACTTCTTTTGTACTACCGCAAAACGTAAATTTTGTCGTAAATGAACCCTTTGCACATGCGTACTAGCTACACTAACAATGTAGAGCGCGAAGTTTGCAAGAGATGGCGGGGCAGCGTCGTCCTCAAAGTACGTCAAACTGGAGGCGTTGTTGTCGACTGGTATGCCATCGACATTGGCGAGGGGGATGTAACGTTTGCCCAGCTTTACGAGCGACTCGTGGCAGCCAGCGAGTATCGCCCGGACAGACGTCCTTTCCAGAGCGGCCACCACACGTTTCTATTGCAACGATGAGAGAAATGGGAGCTGTGTTGAGGTGGCCTTTAAAGTGGGTCAGGCCACTTCTTAGTGCAGTTCGGCTGTTTGTCCGTATTGTTGTTGACGAAAACTGCAACAACTAAAGCCAAAGATTGTCAGCAGAAGTCAGCTTTTTGAGGTAAGTAATAGTTCTAGTTATTTTTTTGTTTGTTTTGTTTTTCTGATTTCGATCCAGTATCCGTTGCAAAATTTATGGGGAGGGGCGCGTACACGTGTTATGATACAGACAAAATAAAGTTGTCAATGATTTACAGTAGTTTTATGTAGATTATGATATTGTAGTCATATGGCAAATTTCCAACAAGATGCATTTCTTCATGCAAGTTTTTTGTTAATTTTCTGTTGGGTGTTTTTTTTAATAGTGAGCTATTGCAAAAATTATTTCACAAAATTTCCTATTTGAAAAATGATTTTTATTTCTCTGTTTCACATCCGTTTTGTGCAGGGCTCTTTCATGTAGTGCACCAGTGGAGGTGTACTCTGCGCGAGTCAAGTCTAGGGCACTGGCCATTCTGCCACTGGTATGCTGGCAGTGTGGGGAAACAGACACGCTTCCCATCCCTCCAGAGAAACTGCAGTGTTTCAGAGCATTCATCCAGTGTGCCAGGTGGGTTAAATATTATTGTGTACCTCATGTTTTAATTGTATATTCATTCTCACCCGCATTAGTAATGTT